AAGAAGAAGTAAAATGCATATTGTTCTTCAATGCACATGAAAAATAATATGCATTTTACTTCTTTCCTGTGTTTGTTTACCTTAACACAATCCACATCTGTAGCTGAGCTCTGTATTTCTAATTATATGGGCATTTCTGTATCAAACTCAACAGTTCCAAAACTGAATTTCTGATCTTCCCCATCATAAAAGTTGCTTATTCTCAGTATTCCTTCTGGTCTCAGCTTATGACACCACCATTTAGCCAGTCATCCAAAACAGAAACAGAGGGCTTACCCTAGATTTCTCACTCTTATTAGTGCCTACATGTAATCTGTCATCAAGTCCTATTAATTCCACTTCCAAAGTATCTCCCAAATCTGATCTTTTCTTTCATTCTCCACTGTAACATCTCATTTTTCATCTAACTTCTGATTAGTTTCCTAGTCTCTAGTCTCTTCGTCTTCTCTGTATAAACACTTAACTCTGTAGAAACAGTTTTTTTTTTTTTTTTTTTTTTTTTTTTTTTTGAGACGGAGTCTCGCTCTGCTGCCCAGGCTGGAGGGCAGTGGCCGGATCTCAGCTCACTGCAAGCTCCGCCTCCCGGGTTCACGCCATTCTCCTGCCTCAGCCTCCCAAGTAGCTGGGACTACAGGCGCCGCCACCACGCCCAGCTAGTTTTTTGTATTTTTTTTTTTTAGTAGAGATGGGGTTTTACCGCGTTAGCCAGGATGGCCTCGATCTCCTGACCTCGTGATCCGCCCCATCTCGGCCTCCCAAAGTGCTGGGATTACAGGCTTGAGCCACCGCGCCCAGCCGAAACACTGTTTCTAAGAAATAATTTCCTTACTTAAAACATGTTAAGGGCTCCCCATTACCTACACCCCCCATGATATTTCCTCTCCGTAGAGTGCTCAGCTGCATGACAACGACATCTTCATCTTTTGATACTTGGCCCAAGTATCTCCTTCTGAAACCTTCCCTTACCCACCTAGACACAATTAGGTACTTCCTTTTGATGTGCCCCATGGATCTTTTATATACTCATTGGTCACATTTTTGCAATTAACTGTGTATTTGTCTGCCACCTTCACTAGACTTTGAGTCCCTACAGAGCAGAGACTCTGTTCCATTTATTAGCACAGGATCTCAGACATAGTTCATGTTTAATGAATATATGTTGCTTATAGAATAAATAAATGAATGAATGATTTTTTTGACAGGATGTTCCATTTCCTTTTCATAGAGTTGCAGGGAGTGAATAAGAAATTTACTTTGTGTGCTTTGTTCATTTATGGCATTTAAGCACTCTTCATTCTGACTGTTGCTGAGAATCAGTAATGAACAAAATCAACAAAATTTTGATTTTTTTCCCCCTATCTTACTAAAAGAATTCTGGCTTTTAAATCTTGTCCCTTCCTGTGTCCTATAGATCTTAGCTTTCCTCAACCTCCTTTGCAACTTAAGCTTTGATTCTTCCTAGGTCTTTGTTGTTTTAACTTCTCTCTCTGTCGTGACATTTAGACAAACATTTCTTATAATGTTTTTTCCCTCTAAATTTCCTAGTTTGGAAAGAATATAAGATCGTGTTAAAGTAAATACAACTAAAAATATATTGCAAAATTACCCATGAAGACAAAGTTTATGTCTTTTTTTTTTTTTTTTTTTTTTTTTCCAGAAAGAATCTTGCTCTGTTGCCTAGGCTGGAGTACACTGGCACCATGCCATCTCACTGCAACCTCCACCTCCGGGTTCAAGCATTCTCCTGCCTCAGCCTCCTGAGGACCTGGGGCTACAGCTATATGCCACCACACCCAGCTAACTTTTGTAGTTTTAGTAGAGCCTGGGTTTCACCATGTTGGCCAGGCCAGCCTCAAACTCCTGACCTCAAGTGATCTGCCCACCTTGGGCTCTCAAAGTTCTGGGATTACAGGCATGAGCCAC